ACCTGTTTTAAGTAATACAACATTAATAATTATTTCAAAAGGTACATTTTTTTGCAAATGAAACTTAACTGCTGCTTTTAAATCTCTTGCGCGCTCTGTTCGTGAACTATTCATAATGTTTATCTATTTGTGTATCAATTTTACACCTTGATGGCTGTAGGCACGATGAAAACCCCTCCGCATCTCATACCTATATCATGAATTTATAAAAACAGTACACATAGTATATTTTTTTCTTATTTTTTTCAAAAATCATCAATTTTTCGTCTGTTTATTTATCATTCTACAATAGAAATTCATAACGGATACAGTAAAAATGGTATTTCAGGATTCGCACATTATATACACTGTACATGATTAATGAAATAAAGAGAATTTTACCTACAAACAAGCATTCTGAGAGTATTGCATAGCAATACATAATCCCCTACCGGTTAAGAATTAATTGTACTGGCACAAAATGCTAACTTGATTTATAACTTGTCATGGTGTAAAAATACATAACAAATATAAAGTCAATATCTACAAGCATGACAAAAAAGTATTGAAAACTGATTATTCCAAGGACCATAACTCTGCACAAAATCATCAGACCAGAACAAAATCAACTTGATCTGTAACTTGTCATGATAAACCTATATACAAATTATCAAACCAATATCTTCATGCATGATGAAAACAAGTGTGGAAAACTGATTATTTGAGTGAATTTTCTAAGTCTAATTGTATAATAGTCCCAGGCAAAATCCAGAAAAGTTTGTAATTTCCTGAAACATAAAAAGCATTTAAAATTTAATTATCTAGTTCCTGCCATGCCTTAAAACTTTTCCAGGTGCACAGGTTTGTCTGTACTCCGAGTACAATTTGTGGTGTAAATACGGCCATATTAGCCAAAAGGTTATGATGAACCTTAATATATATTAGCTATAAAAGCACTAATATATTTATAACTTACTACTCAAATACTTTAATATATATTAGCTATAAAAGCACTGTCTATATGACATTGACAAATGTTGTTTAATAACTAAAGCACTGGTCTTGGAACAATGGGTCATGTAAGAAGTACAAGCCAACTTGGCTGCCTGTAATACACTCGAATCTGTACTAAAGTAATCCAAATCCTTGTGTAGCAGGAACCACTGAATTCTGCTCGAGATTCGGGGATGCGGACCACAGCTTGTTCTAGTTTGTGAACTGATTTAAACGGAGACGATGGATGTCAAATGTAAAAGCGCTTTATAAATATCTATGTAAATGAAAACATAAAACAGTGAAAACAATATATAATTTATTCAATAAGTACAACTTCATGAAATCCAAAAAGTTAAGAAATGGAGCATTCAATGACTTCAATAATTACCCGTATTAAGAAGGCATATGGCAGATGCACTAACCTTAAAGGGAGGTTTGGAAAAGCACAGCTTTCCTGGGTTGGACTGAACATCAGTCCTCAGACAATTCAACATAACAATTCCAAACCACTAATATGAAATGTATCAGTTTCTCAAAGAAGGTTATAAATGATTTGCGACGATGCAGATGCAGATCTGGTTTTCGAAAAAAAAAACCAGATGGATATTACTTGTTTAGGCGGATTTCGGAAATTCACCATACGAAATGTTCTGATGAGAAAAAGAAAAATAATCAGATTCCCGAGTTATATTTAACATGTTGCGACTAGGCATAGTTCGGTCAACTTTCCATTATTATATCTACGCCTGAAATGATCTTAAAAACAACCGAAAATTAAAATACCACTCGAAATAAACCCGAACTCTTTCACACGGATTTTTAAGTTCTTACGGTTTGTGAAACGGTTGGCTGCTCAGAATGCAAAATACAACTCTATCAAAAGTTTTGAAAACTATAAAAAAAAACACCGTTTGATTCTTTACTTCCCAATGTCACTGAATTACAATAAAAACACAATCGCAAATAGAAGAAGAAAGAATTCCACTTTTCGGGTAATTGGTGATGACGTATTTACTCCCCACGTAGAACTAAAATGGTTATTGCCTGATACAAGGATTTGTATAGTATTTGTCTTACTATACAAATCCTTGCCTGATACCACTAAAGGCACTGCCTTTAATAGATATAGGAAGATGTGGTATGAGTGCCAATGAGACAACTCTCCATCAAAGTTACAATTTATAAAAGTAAACCATTATAGGTCAAGGTACGGCCTTCAACACGGAGCATTGGCTCACACCAGCAAGCTATAAAGGACCCCAAAAAATTACCACCAAAAATGGATTAAAACATTTTTCAATGACCATAACTCCTATAAGGGGTCAATTGTTGTTTTGGCCATATCATGCTGACTTATTTGTTGATCTTATTTTGCTGAAACGGTGTTTGCTTATTAACTGTTGCTCTCTATCAATTTTAGTTTCGACAAAAAATGGGTAAAAATCATTCAATGACAACAATTCATACAAGGAGTCACTTGACAATTTCGATCATGGCTGACTTATTTGTAGATCTTATGCTTAACATTTTTGCCATTTTGTCATTCAGGGGCAAAAAAACTACTTGATGGGGTCAATAGACCATTTTGGTCATTTTACTTATTTGTAAATTTTATTTGGCTGAACATTTATACCATTTAAAAATTCTCTCTACATGTGTATCCTCTATAAATTCTGTAAAAAGGGTAATAAACTGTTAACACAGAGATATGTCTCGCCTTTTTGTAATTTCCATAATGCAAATGTTGAAATTAAAATAGCAACACTTTAACATGTAAGTTTTGTAAATATTAGAAGTCAATGAACCATGACTGAAGGTACATGGCTAAACAATCTCCATGGAAATGAGATGTACCAACGCTAATACAACTGCATACCAAATACCATTGACTTATCATAAGTAGTTCCCTTTAAACAAACCTAAACACAAACTTATACCTGTAAACTAAATAAAATTTCAAAGTCAATAGACCATAACTGAGGGGGCGGGGCCAAATAATCTCCATGGAAATGAGATGTGCCAATGCTAATACAACTGCATACCAAATATCATTTCCCTACCACTAGTGGTTCCCCATAAACTGACCTAATCACAAACTAATACATGAAAACTAAGCAAAAGTTTCAAAGTCAATAGACCATAACTGAGGGGGCAGGGTCAAATAATCTCCATGGTAATGAGATATGCCAATGCTAATACAACTGCATACCAAATATCATTTCCCTACCACTAGTGGTTCCCCATAAACTGACCTAATCACAAACTAATACATGAAAACTAAGCAAAAGTTTCAAAGTCAATAGACCATGACTGAGGGGGCCGGGCCATATAATCTCCATGGAAATGAGATATGCCAACACTTATACAACTGCATACCAATCATCTTTAACTTACCACTAGTGGTTCCCCATAAACTGACCTAATCACAAACTAATACATTTAAACTAAGCAAAATTTCAAAGTCAATAGACCATAACTAAGGGGGCGGGGCCAAATAATCTCCATGGTAATGAGATATGCCAATGCTTATACAACTGCATACCAAATATCATTGACCTACCACTAGTGGTTCACCATAAACTAGACCTAATCACAAACTAATACATTGTTGATGCCACCACCGCCGCCGGAAACAGCATACCTATGTCTCGCTTTTTGACTCCGTCAAGGCGAAACAAAAACCCTCATTCAAGGGCATTTACTCCTTTAAGGAGTCATTTGACTATTTCTGCAATGTTGACTCATGTGTAGATAAAATTTTCTGTTGTTTTTACCATTTATGAATGAGGGAGCTACCATTTGATTTTTATGGGGAGGGAGGGGGGGCAAGGATGAAAAATTTTATTTTTCACTCTATTTGGTCCTGCCTTTTTTTTATTAGTTTATCCTGACTTTTTTTACATAAATTGTCATCCTGCCTTTTTTTTTTTTGCCAAGTTGCTCATCCTGCCTTTTTTTTTTACTCAAAACTCCTGTTCTGCCTTTTTTTCAAATTTCATCCTAGCCCACCCACCCCCCCCCCCCCCCCCCCCCATAATAATCAAATGGTAGCTCCCTAACTAAAGGAAACAGTCCTCCCTGCTGATAACTTATTGAGATATAAGTCAAAACTGAAATTTGCTAAAAACTGACATTTTAATTTTTATGGGGCTCCAATTTTTTTTCTGAAAATGACATTGGAGTTGGACCTTGACCTGCTATGTTTTTACCCATGTCAAATTGGCCAAAACTGCATTTTATCTTATGTTCTATTTTTAGCAAAAGGGGCCATGTTTTTTGATAGATCAAATCCCTGGATACAATTTTCAAACTTGATTCTCTTAGGAACATTCAGTTAAAGTTTGGTAACATTTGGTCCAAATCCCCCAATAGTTTCACAGAAGATTTTTCTTTTTAGTTTACGAGGTCAGTCAGACTACAGACACCAATGACGAACGTAAATGATGGAAATAGCTCATATTGCCTTTTATGCCAGTAGAGCTAGCAAAGAGATGTTAGATATAAATTTGAATGAGAAAACCACGCAACAACACAATAAAGTCATCTGAAGGTTAACATGCATGTACAGACTTAACAATAGACAAGTGTACATGTCTTTTACAGAGGTGAGTGTTATAAAATTTTAAACTATTGGCTAACAGGAAGTGGCTACATGTACAAGGCAGATGTAAAAGTTGTTTACTTGCTATATATACAACTCAATATCATCAAGCTGAACACCAAACATTAAATCATTCCCTTTCATAGAAACCAAGAAAACTTGTGACAAAAATTATACATGTACAATGAGTGTTGTAAAATTTCAGACTATCGGCTAACAAGAACTGGCTACAAAAAAATTGTAAAAATTGCTAACTTGCTGCAACTCAACATTATCAAGCTGCAGACCATATATTAAATCATTCCCTTTGTGATGAAAGTTTTCTTTTGGACGGAAGGACAGACGGACAGAGTCTAGCGGTTACTAGAACTGCTTCCGCCTTCAGCTACGCAGGTAAAAATAAAATATGTATAACTCTTCTACCTTCTGAAATATTAAAGCTTTATTCATATCAGTAATGTAACAAATTCACTTCAAGTAAGAGAAAAATCTTTATGTTACTTGCAGTCTGGCCTATCTTGGGTTTCATTCGTATCAGTAGGTTTATTTTTAAGTAAAAGTTTTCATTTTTATTAACCTAAATTCTTTGTATGATCCATCTAAAAGTTCTGAAGTAGGCTGATACATTTGTTTTACTAATCTGTTTAATATTAGAAACACTTTTATTTATCATGTTTATGCATCAGCTTTTGTATTGTCAATTTCCTCAATGCTCTGTTCACCATCGTTGTCACTTATATCAGCTTCTTCTACATACCCATCCTTCTCTGTTTCATACACATATATCTTACTGCCCATATCATTTGTGACAAGCAGATTCTTCTGGTCCTCACTTAAACACAGGCCCTTTGGCCTTATTAATTCCTTCGGTGAATCAATGGAATATGATCTTGAACCATCACATGACATCAGACCAATCTTATCCATTTGAGAATCTGAATAATATACATTTAGCAGGCTATTATTTGAACTTGGAATTATTTTTAATTATTGAATTTGCATAATTTCTTGTGCTTGAATTTTTTGATAAAATCCTTGTTTATTTGTTATTATAATGTTTTGAGTGGTTCATAACACTTTCCATATAATGTATTTTGTATAGATAGTGTTGTGCGCGGCACAATACATTCTATTGAAAATGTACTATCTTCTTTGTAATAGAAAGTGTTGTGCACAGCACAGAACATTGAAGTACAGAATAAACATGGAATTTATTAAAAATTTCCAGCACAAGAAATTATGCAAATTCCATAATTAAAAATAATTCCAAGTTCAAATAATAGCCTGTTATTTCCTTTATCATCAGTTTCTACATCTTCTACATGCTCCATTGTATGATCAGTGTAAATAAAGCTGTCACTTTCACCATCTGGCATGTTTGGAAATGTTTTAAAGTATATAATGTCACCACATGAAAAGTAAAATCCTTTTTCGTTGACATGAACATACCATGAGCTGTCAAGCCCTGGTAATCCTTCAACTTTGGTGTATAATGTTCCTTTTAAACGGTCATAACATTCAATTCTCTCATCCTGTCTAACAACAAGGAACTTTTCATTCAGTGAAATACCATCAGAATTCTTGCTAATAGGAAGTCTTTGATCAATGGTGAGTGTTTTTTCATTTAAGAGTTCTATGGTTCCATCCTCATCATTTAGTAAAGCAATATAGCCATGACCATCAGAGGCTAAATTAAATGGTGAATATTCAAGCTGGACTGTATTTAATTTTGTACTGTCAATACTGTACACTTCAATGCATTTTGCAAAATGATCTGCCACAAAAATGTTTCCATTACTAGAAAAACATGCTTCATTATTCCGTTCTTCTTTTTTGATTTCAGATATTAATTTTAACTTGACTCTAGGCAGCAGATTACATGTTAATGGGAATTCACAATGCTCACTGATATGACTAATTGTTGACACCATACATTTATCTAATGAATTATTGATGTTGTCAAGTTCTTTAGTAACACTTGATGTTAAATGTGAATGAAAGTAGTGGTTTGTAAAATGATTTGTAAACTTGGTATGCAGAGGAGATTTTTTTTCAAGTTCCTTTATTGTAACCATTATCTGAACATGTGATGCTTTTTCAAAAACTGTTGTGAAAATGCTCAATTCATTGTCAAAGGCAGCAATTCTATCATCCAATTCTACAACCATACTGCTATATTTCCTGTCACTGTTTTCTGAAAACTGTGTTAATTCTGCAGTCAGTTTGTCAGAAATAATATCAACCTTGGTCTTGATATCTTGTCTGAAGTGATTCAGTTCTTCAACAATAGAACCAATTTTATCTTCAAATTTTTTTGAATCCTCAATGTACCTTTCTCTTACTTTTTGTAGTTTCTGTTTACTGCATTGTAAGGTTTCTTTTATATTCTTTGGTAAGTCAGATTGACAAATATCTTTTGCAGCAATCTCTATTGTTTTAACAGTCTCACATTTCCTGTGATCCACTGATACACACAATGAACAACATTCAATTTCATGATCACAGCAGTACAATTTAAGCATTTCTCCAGGATGCAGGTTACAAAATTGATTGGAACTTTTCAGTTCATCCCTTGAAAGCTCTGTAAACAAATGTACACTATGTGTAGCTGTTGATTTGTTAGCCCGGTGATATTTAGTACACATATCACATAAGAGTTCTCCACACTCTTTACAAAAGTTATTAGCCTCACACTTTTCTCCCAGTCGTTCACAAGAAAAACACATTTTGCTTGTGCTCTCGAATTTTTTTCTTTCTAGAAGCTCAGCAATGAGAAAGTTTAAAGTAAGTGTTTGTACCCATTTTTCAGGAGAAACTAATAATGTTTCTGAAGTTTCTTTCTGTTTTGTGTAATTTAATACTGAACGACAAACTGGACACTCTAATGTATGCTGAATACCAGATTCAGCTGTGAAGTGTGCACAATAGGCTGCAATGCATGTTTCACAAAATGAATGCAAACAAGGCAAACACTTCGGAACTGTCATTTGCTCCAAACATATGGGACATGTTGTCAGGTCCTCGTTTGAAATTTCTGGGTTTAAAGGAGATGCCATTGTAAAGTGTTTCCATTCACCTAGTCAATGTGAAATTACTGTGATGGGCCTTGGATTTTGGCTGTGCTAAAATGAAAAACAAAAAGAAATGAACAAATTGAAACAAAACAAAACAGAGAGAAACAAGAGGCTGTCAGAGTGACAGCAAACCGGATTTCCTGCAAAGGTCGAACCCTGAACAGTTGAGCAAGTATGGACACTACATTTAAGCTTAAAAGAGCTCTGAAATTTGGATTGTGATTGAACATTTGACACAGCATAGGTTTGTGACACAAAATGAATGTGTTCAAAGAACTGAAAAATTTGAAATTGGACATTTACCTATTATGGTCCAGTATCCAAAATCTAAGTACATTGTTAGAATCAGCATATCAAAGAACCCCAAGAATTCAATTTTTGATGAAATCAAACAAAATTTAATTTAGGACCCTTTGGACCTCAATGTGGACCAATTTGATAAAGGAGCCCACAATCCAAAATCTCTAAATACATGGTTAGATTCAGCATTGCGAAGAACCCCATAAATTCAATTTTTGTTGAATTAAACAAAGTTTAATTTTGGACCCTGATTTGGACCAACTTGAAAACTGGGCCAAAAAATCTAATATTTAAATACAGGTTTAGATTCAGCATTTGAAAGAACCCTATATATATTTAATTTATGTTGAAATGAAACACAGTTTAATTTTATCCATATAATTTTCTGTTCAAAGGGAAATAACTCAAACTGAATAAATTATAAACACATAGTTCTCTACAATTATATGATTTAACCACAATTTTCTAAAATTAGATATGATGTTACACAATGTATATCTATTTTCAAATTATAATCAAATATAATTAATAGTTCCAAATATTTTTTCTTTCATTTGTCAAAAACTTATATAGATCTGCAACTTATCTATCAATGTCAACAACTTTATTTACACAATGCAATGTAATGAAATATATCCTTTAATAAAAATAGATTATTATCTAATTAAAGGAGTTCACTTCTTCGATTTTTTTTTTATATATATAGCATTCAGAAAATTAGTTTATACGGAATAACAAACAAACCTACCACAAAATTCTTCAAACAATTTACCAAAGAAAAGAAAAAAAAATCCAAAATGTCATTTATCATTAATACAATGTCTTTTAAAAATCGTTTAAAAAATGAGTTATTTCCCTTTGAACAGAATGGAGTAATTAATAAGAATTTCATCAAAAATTGAATTCTTGGAAAAGGGCTATAACTCAACAACGAGAAAAGCTGAAATCATGAAAATTGAACTTGACCTTCATTAAGTCACAGGAAACAATATATCTAAATTTGAAAAAATTTCGTCAAAGCGTTTTCATGTTAATGAACTGACACTGTTTGGCAGCCGCCTGCCTGCCGTACATCCCCAAATCAATAACCGATTTTTCCTTCGAACGGTAAAAAATTGACAAAACGTAACAAAATGAACGGAATGAAATGAAAGCAAACTAAAAGAAATATATAACATTTGAAAGACTTACTAAAAAAAAGGTCTCAAACATAAATTGAACGTGACTGACATTCTCCAAAAAGGTCATAGTTCACATAAAAGCTGTATATTAAGAGAGAGATGCATTTCACAAATATCTATTTAAATTGGTCCATGTAAACAAAAAACTGAATCAAGTATCAGGTTCTGTAGTCAGATTTTTCTTCTATTACAAGATGTGATCCCTAATAAATATCTATTTAAGGAAGCAACCATTTAACTTCAAGGGGGGTTATGGTTTTTTGTCTGAGTCAGAATTTTTTTTTTAGTTTTTCGATGCTATCAATCAAATTATTTTTTTCAAAATTTAACTCTTTAAGGTATGGGGAAAATCTGGATTCAGCATATTTTTTTCATCATCTGCTTGACCACAATATTTTTTTTCATCAAATTGGGGATCAGAATATTTTTTTAGGAAAAAAACATAACCCCCCCTCCCTTGAAGTTAAACGGTCGCTCCCTAACAATTGCTCACATCTAAACCTTAAAACAAACTGATATAAAAAATGTTTGCAGGGCAGACAAATAAAGAACTAAACATTCCTTAAACACACATTTTCTTTCTCTTGCATTAATAAATAGCCCAATGTGTTAGAACAAATCTCAGATATTTGGTGAAATCATTTATTTCTGGAATGAATTAAAAAATAGTATTCTGTGTAATATGGATTACACTAGTGAAGCAGGAACTGCATACCCTTCCAAATGCATATGAGTTCACCCCTATATGTGTTTAAACATAATAAAAGGGCCAGTATTTATTCGTTTTTTTGGTTCTATTTTTTGTGTCATATTTTGTAAAATTTTATTTTTTCAACATGTTCGATATCCATGTTGTTTTATGACCTTGTCTATCATACATGTATATACTAGGCCGTTGGTTTTCTCAATTGAATTTTTTCATATTTTTCATGTCAGGGCCTTTTATAGCTGACTATACGGTATGGGTTTTCCTCATTGTTAAAGGCCATACAGTTGCCTATAATTGCTTACATCCACTGAACTTTGGTGGATAGTTGTCTCATTGGCAATCATACTTCATCTCCTTATGTTATATTTGTATTAAAAAATCATGTTTTATATTGGACTTTAGGGTTTGGTCAAGTTTTAGGGTACTATGAATTTACTTTTACTGACTGTTAATGAATTTGGTTGTGCCTTAATAGGGCTAGACAGGAAACATTTACCAATCATCCATTTTAAGATGCATTCTTACTGAATTGACTTATCACCCGTTATTTTATAAATTAAAAAATTTATTCAGTGGTCTCGTTGGCCCAAAATAGAAGGGTGCTGTGCCCTTCTGCCCTGACTGTGACACCCTGTTGTAAACATCCTTGCACCGCTTTGGCAATGTACTCTAAAAATTGCCCATATATATAATAGTTGATCTCTAATCATGTTCCTATGTTGTATAGCCGAATCACTTTGGGGAAGGAAAATTCCAGTGTAAATTTTAACCCAGACACTTATACTGGAAAAACTTACAAATTGTGTGGAAAATGATTTTCAATGAGGTCTTAAATTTACTTTGGTTTTAGGTAGGAAGATGGCTAACATCTACGAGGCTGGAAGGCCATGTGACACACAACAGTGACACCATTGAAGAATAAAAACAGAAATGACAATACAATGTGTCTAGTTTTAGGTTTTAGACCCTTTACAATAAATGTGTAAGATTCCTATATCTCAGTCTGTCCTGATTTATTTTATTTCATGTTTATACCATTCAAGAGAAAAACTAGAGGCTCTAAAGAGCCTGTGTCGCTCACCTTGGTCTATGTGCATATATATCAAACAAAGGACACTCTCCAACATATTGTAGACGAGAATAGACTTCATGACGAAAATCTCTATTTTGTTGATCTTGTATTACTGATCTTTCATTCTGTTTAGTTTCTCTCTATCTTCTTTAGTTTTTGCTCAAAACACAAAAGAGGGTAAAAAAAAAACTATTTAAGGGCAATCACTCCTATGAAGAGTGACAGTCTACTAACTATATCGGCAAAATTTGACTTTTTAATGGATCTTGCCTTGCTTCCTTGGAAGGAGGAACACCCTACCTTACTAGACAACAGAAGTATTGCACAACAGAGAACAGAAAATGTCATTAAGCGTCTTAGTCGTGAACCTACACTTTTACAGAAGTACAGAGAGACTATAAATGAACAAGAAAAACATGGATTTATCGAGAGAGTTGATGAATGATCAACCAACACAAAGGTTCATTACATACCTCACCATGATGTACGTAAATAGTGGTCAACCACGCCCATCAGAATTGTATTTGACTGCAGCTGCAAACCTACACCTGTTAGTCCGAGTTTAAATGATTGTTTGATGAATCTTTCGCCAAACCTGAATGACTTAACCGGGATTCTTCTCTGATTTAGAATGCACAAATATGCCGTGGCGACTGATATAGAAAAAGCCTTTCTTAATATTGGTCTTAATGAAGACAGAGACATATAATACAAGAGATTCGCAACTCGGCGAAATCCCGTAATAACACGCGGCCACTAGTTAAACCTCGTGAGATCTCCTTAGGTAATAAAGTCATTAATAAAAGTATTAAAAGTACTCGAAGTAAGGACGAATGTTTTAAGCATAACATAAACTGTTTCAGTGTTAAATTTATCATAATTAATTAAATATAATTTGAGTACATATATAATTATTTATTTTAATGTAATTTTGATTTTAGATTTGTATTATTGAAAAAGAGACATAATTTGATATTGTATAAAAAGAAAACTGATATTAAATAATTAACACTTGATAAATTGTGTGTCAGAGTTCATTTTATTTGATAGTTACATAATGGGTTTCTATTGAATATACACCTGTCTCGGAGACATAATTTCACAGTGTGACATGTATATTAGGTTTGAATTATTCGATGACCAGGTAAATCACGAACATGTTATAAATAATGAGTTTTAATTGACACCTTGTAAACAAGAAGTTGTCACACCACAGGTGTCCACACTCTTTCCAAAAATACAAGTCACAAAATGTATAATTAATTAATATGGAAAATACTTAATTTATTTGTTAATTAATTGTTAATCATGATAGGCTTTGTTTTTTATTCTTGATATTTATAAATTATTAAAATTTTATTTATTTTTATATTCCTCATTTATTGGGCTTTCATTGAGTTTTTTTTCTGTAGGATTGTCGGTAAATGTTTGATTTCTAAGTGTTGTTTGACAGTTTTATCATATAGGCTTGCATTGAGTTGTTTTTTTAAATGATTGTCGGTAAATTTATGGTTTCTTCATGTTCGAAGTGTGTATTGAGAATTAATATTTAAGAAAATTACAATTAATTTCTCATTTGAATAAAGCTTCATTCATGTGCACGCAATATGGAAAATTCCGATTTTATTTCGTTGGATGACAATCTTAATTTCGTGGGATGACAATCTTAATTTCGTGGGATGACAATCTTAATAGTTACGACTTAGATATACTCCTAGTTGAATAAGCTGATAACGAACTCTTTGTTGATAGTGAAAAGGACGAAAACATAAGCGAGAGACCCACC